TGCAGGGAGGACCCTCCACATGTCACACACTACCTGGGCCCATGGGTCTCGCTGACCATGATCTCCTCCCAGGTTGGCCTCACATTTCCCATGCTAGATGCTCATAGATGCAGACGATTTTCAGAAATCAGACTGCTTTTCAGACCCTGAGATGCCACATCCAGGGCGACATGCCTTGGGGAGAGGTCAGCTCGAGCAGCCCTCAGGGCCTGGACCTGCTGAAGGTGCCCCCTGCTTCTTCACAGAGCTTGTCTCGAAGGCCAGACCTCCTCAGAGTGGATCCCACCTCAGAGCGGGACCCATGGTGCCCACTGCCTGTGGCTCAGGCCACAGCCAGCCCCCTGGCAGGCACGTTTATACCACTGGGCTGGCTGCTCTGAGAGCCGACCCGCTGCCCCTTGCCCCTTGGTGAAGGGTGGAATTGAGAACACGGGATGACTCATCAATTTCATGAGCCTTGAAAAAAAATACAAGGCTTTATTGGGAGATTTAGGAGGGGCTTTGAAAGATCAGCTCACGCCACATTCTTGGGTGGGAAGACCAAGCATTGTGAAGATGTTAGGCTTCTCTTGTAGAAGGCCCATGTTTCATGTAATAATTGACAAAGGCAGCACCTCACGAGAGTGAGTAGAGGGGAGAATTAGCTAGTTTGTGTCTAGCAAAGTAGAAGAAATGCACTTAGATTTCTATCTGCCAGAGTAAAGCAGACCATTATCTAAAGATAGATCACAATAAATGGAATTGTTCGTGTGTCAGTTCTTTGCAAAGATAACTTTCTAGGCTTTGAAGATAATAGATAGATACTTAGATGATAGAAAGATAGATAGATAGATAGATAGATAGATAGATAGATAGATAGATAGATGATAGATACATACTGATACATAGATACATAGATAAGTAAATTAATAACCAAAGATCAATGAATTGAATTTAAATAAACTAAAAATCTTTGTTTAAAGAAAAAAAGCTCAAAAGTAAAAAACAGACGTGATAATTACGATAGCAGATGAATATCAGTCTTCAAAAAGACTTCTAAACCAAGGCATGAGAAGTGTTTAACTTCAATCGTTATTGAAAAAAAAATGCAGGGTTTCATAAGGAGGGATATTCTGAGCTTACAAAATTAGCAAAAATAAAGAGTAATGATAGCGGGGGCAGGGGACCAACCCCTGAAACTGTCGATGGCCCCAAAAGTGGCATGACCCTTTGGGGATATAATTTGCAAAATATTTGGAGAACCCGAAAGAGAGGCATATCCCCTGATCCAATAATGCCTTCACAGGGAAATTTGCACTACAGGAAGCCCCTCCAAATGATTGTCAAGCTGGTCCCACCGAGCCTCATCCAGGGCCTCTGCGAGGAGCCCGCAGGGGACTCTGGGCTCGTCCCCGTTGACCTGTCCCCGCCCACAGTTACTTTTTGTCTGTACCCAGCATATGTGGGTGTTGTCAGTGAGGTTCCATTTAACCAAAGGTTTCCAGATTCGAAATCCGCTGGTCTAAAGGAGTGAAAAGGCGCTTTCTGGAAAAGTGTCCATCACAGAGCGATTTACAGTGGTAAAGAGACGGGATGCAACCTCACCGTCTCCCCGCGAGGGAGAGGCTGAGCGGATGAGAGCGTGTCCGTGGGATGGAAGAGTAAACACATCAGTTGGGGAGATGTGCAGCTTGGGAGCATGATTATGGTAAAACATTTGAGGACCAACGAATACACCCTGACTAACACTGTGAAAAGTGACAGCTGTGCCTGGGTCCCGCCTGGACTGAGCAGGGAAAGATGAGATCAGGGGCTCGCATAGGTTAGGGGACTATGAGCAATTTTAAAAATTCTTTTCTAATCATTACGATAATAATGCCACAAATGACGTTTCTTTAGGTTATTTAAACAACAACAAAAAAAGATGACAGACACCCTTCTGTGCAGGCAGGGATCAACTGGTAAATGTGGGACAGCCCATTGAGTCAGTACAGACCATGGCCGTTCTGATTAAGTCACTCCTGGGTGTTAGCTATTCAGATGAACCATGTGAAATTGCCATTTTTATCATGAAAAAATGGCTGAACGACGGCAACTTCA